TGATAAATGAATTTACTTAAATTAATAGTTCTATTAGTCGTTTTTATAATTTCTACCAACTTTCATTTATGTATCGATAAATAGCGTGATATTCTTATTAGGCTAGTAAAACTCCCTATTTCATTAACCATTTTAGATCAAAATGACCAGGATCTAGAGTTTGATCTATAAGAGGGTTGCGAGTAGTACGTTCAGTTTGTTTACTTTTAATTTATTTATTTGGTTATTAGTTATTTTTTTAGAATAGTTATCCCCATATGCCCTATTTGGTGCTTTCAGTTATTGTGTAAGAAATGTAAACCTTAACTATTTATTTCACTTCTGCACTAAATTTATAATTTGTCTCATCTGGAGTTTCGGGCTCATTACACAGGACATGATGCCATATAGGTAATTGTTGATCACCTCACAAGTCTTCCCATTTCTTTGTCATTAAGATGGCTGTCCCCTTCGATAAGCTAGTAAGAATGTATATTCGTGAGATAGTTAGGTTACATGGAGTGCTAGTTCTAGTAGTGTCAGATAGGGACCCTAGGTTCACTTCTCGCTTCTGGTCTAGTTTTCAGTAAGTCATGATAACAAAATTGTCCCTTAGTACTATATTGCATTCTCAGGCCGATGGGCAATCAGAAATGATGATTCACACACTAGATGATATGCTCCGAGCCTGTGTTCTTGATTTCGGAGGCCATTGGGACGATCATTTATCCCTGATAGAGTTCACCTATAATAATAGCTACCAAGTAAGTATTGGCACAGCTCCGTACGAGGTATTGTATAGCCGCCCATGCAGATTGCCGATCTATTAGAAAGAAGTGGGTGATAGAAGATTGTTCGACTCAGATCTTATAGAGGAGACTACAGCCAAAATAGTTAAGATCAAGAAGAAGATTTAGACGACTAAAAGCAGACAGAAGAGTTATGTGGATACCTATAGGAGGGATTTGAAATTTGAGAAAAATGATCGTATGTTCCTTAAGATTACTCATTTCAAAAGAATCAGTAGGTTTTGTAAGAGGAGAAAGCTAAATATCGGGTTTATTAGGCCAATTCAAATCTTAGACAGGATTGACACTGTCGCCTACAAACTAGCACTGCCTCTAGAACTATTTAGGGTTCATAATGTATTCTATGTGTCAAAGCTACGTATGTACAACTTGGGCCCATCTCACGTCCTGGCCCACGAGCCCCTTTTACTCCAGAAGGATTTGTTCTACGAGGAGATACCGATGGGTATTATGGACCGAAAGTAGTAGAGTACTCCGCAACCGAGAAATTTCCTTCATTAAGGTTCTATGGCAGAATCACACACAGGGAGAAGCCACATGAGAGCTATAAGTAGACTTCAGAGCCCAGTGTCCCCAACTATTTAATTGAATGGGAGAGAGGCAAATTTTAGAGAACAAATTTCTTTTATGGAGGGGAAAGTTATAATACCCAAAAATTAATTTGAAATATTCAAAATTTTGTATGAAATTTAATTTTTAATTTTATAAATTATTATTTAATGTAAAATTAGAAAAAAATAGGTGGATGATGAAATTAAAAATAATTTTTGGAGAAATGGGTAAAAATTTGAGTTCTGAGAGTTCTTTTGAAAGCAAAATCGAAAAATTGAGGTCAAAATGCAATTTAGGAAAAAATGTACCACGTAGGACGCCCAGTCATTAGCCCCGACAAACAGAAGTGCGCCGCATGGCAAGGCATGTTGACACAGTGCCATGTGGGAGACCATGCTGGCAATCCATGTGTCCACAATTAGACGATCCAGATTTGTTCCTGCGCGCATGGATGGTCCGGATCCGTTCTCTCCTCAAACGCAATCGGATGGTCGCGATTAAATGCGATTAACGGTCTAAATCTACTTTCTATTTGAATGCGATCAGATTGTTTAGATTAAATTGCGATGAATGGTTCAGATTCACTTCCTATTTAAACGTATTCAGACGGTTCAGATCAAATGCGATGGAAGACTCAGATAAAAAAGAAATGGATATAAATATCCCTATTCACATCAAACTCTAACCCTAACTATCAGACTCCCCCCCCCCCCCCCCCCTCCCCTGCGCCGAAGAAAAAGAGCCAGTCGCTGGGAAGGGAGCCGACCTCTGTCTACCGCTGCACTGGAGCCACTTCTGACTGTCAAAGGAGGTAAAAAAAATTTCATTCGCTCAAAATTCAATTTTAAACACCCCTATGGTCAAATCAGAGCAAAAGGACATGCGGATAAGCCAAAAATCGCGGGCAAAACTCGACTGCACTATCGCATAAAAAAGCAAAAATTGCCTCCGATGATGTCTTTACTGATTCTCATTTCATATAATTTTTTGACCATTGTAATTACCATTCCTTTTTCTATAGGCTGACCGAAGCAAAACACCCAACCGCGAATGTGTGCCGATAGAGCCGCCCCACCGAAAAACTCTGCTGCCGATAAGCTTCAATTTTTCGCCTTTTTTTGCCAATTGATGTCTCTTAATGTGTTTTCTAACAGTGATGGGTACGAAACTGGCCGAAATCAACTGAAACTGACCTGAGGTAAACCGCCAATGTGGGCAGCAGTGCCGTTGCCAAAGCACGATAGAGCCGCTGTGCCGGAATTTCAGAATTGGCCAAAAAGGGTTTTTAACACTTTTTTTTTGGATTTTTAGGCTATTTTTAAGTCTTTGAAGTGTGTTTTAATCTTCGAAGCAGGAAACTCGAAGACCACTAGTAGGTGTAGCTAAAAGTTTAGCAATTCGGACATCAATTTGAGTTAGAATCTCTCACTCTATTTCTTGTTATGGAATTGAAGTTTAATTTTAAATAATATAGTATTTTGTATGAATTACAAAATAATCACAATTATTTTTATTGGATATCGTGAGAGATGGTAGACGAACTTGGTACATATAGAACCCTACCGTGAACGTTACTTCATACCGGGCGGGGTATCGAGAATTGGTAATTTGGTGCTCATACCGGATTGGATATGGGGACAACCCGTTTTACTCTCATACTGAATTGGGTATTGAGCGATGGTATTTCTTAGCGCTTATACCGGACAGGGTATTGGGACGGCTCGTTAGTTGAAAATGTTGAAAAATGGTTCACGCGTAATGGGGACATCTCTATGGACTCCCATAAATATCAGTAGGCCGATAAATGAGAAATTTTTTATTGCGACTGATTAAATATGAAATTATGATATTGTTCATATTATTGACTCTATATGTCAATTTTAAAAATCTCGCTACGGTAAGTATGCGGTAAATGATTTTATTTATGATAAACGAATTTTACTTAAATTAAGACTTTCATTAGTTGTTTTTATGATTTCTAACAATATTAATTTTCGTGGCGGTTAGTAGCGTAATATTCTTACTGGGCTAATGTAGCTCACCATTTCATTAACCATTTTAGATTAAGAGAACCAATATCCAGAGCTCAGTCATAAAAAGGGTTGCGAGTAGTACATTCAGTTTGTTTGATTTTTATTTATTTTTTTAATTATTAATTATTTTTTTAGAATGGTCAGTCCTGTAATCTTATTGGATATTCTGAATTATTGTGTAAGGAATGTAATCCCTAATTTATTGTTGAACGCGGAAAATATGACAGTGCCGATAAAAAATGATTACAATTGAAGGCTTTAAGATTTTGTTTCACAATAATAGTGAAATTTCGTTTAAGTACCTGAAATTTTGCGATTAATAACTATAAATAAAGAAAATTTGTAAATATGTAAGATCAATAGTTTGTCAAAATAAAAATAATAAATATTTACAGTAATTTATGCTCAGAGATAAGTATGCTATTTTATAGTTTATTTATTTATTTTTATTTAAAACATATAAAAATTAGAATTTAATTTGAATGTAGTTATAAAAATAATAACAATTAATTTTAATACTAAAACTTACTTTTAGTAGTTAATTTTTCGAAATTTACGAACTTTGAAAATATTATTAAAACTGTGATTTAATTATTTTACCTAAATAAAAATATTAAAACCATCTCTTCTGTTATCAGAACATTTAAAGGAAGAAAATATTTTCCTCAAAAAAATAAAAAAAATAAATAAAGTAAAACACTATTGTCGAGGTGAAACTTCTCGCGATACGATAATTTCGCCGACGTTGTTGGAGTGAGTTAACTCGCGAGAGAGAGGAGATTATAAGAGAAGACAGTGTCCCAGCTGGCAGAGGGAGAAGAGAGTGCGCTAGATTCGAGCGTAGGGCCTCTACTTCACGTGCCACCACACCTTCAACGTTATGCGCAAAACAGGACGGCCACGTGTCGTTTTCTGGTTTCAAATGCCACCTAGCATAACACGTGGCACAATTCCCAAACTTTTAACTCTGAGGGAGTGGGGCCCACCTTATTGTTCTCTTTCTTCGAACTGGGTCAGGTGAATGACCCCTTCTCTTTTGTATTTCCCCCTGCCCACTCTTCCGGGTCGAGACAAACTCGAACAAGTAGTACAAACTTGTCTTTTTCTTTTTCTTTTTAATAGAAATTCAGAATTAAATTAAACTTGATATTAAAATTTTATTTTTTTCGTATTTATCTAAAAAATGATTTAATTAAATGAATTTAGACATATTAGGTAAATCAAGTCATTTTTCGAGATATAATTATTCACAGTTAGTTCGTATATTTTAATTTTTTAATTTCATAAATAAATTCCACTCTGTATCTAAGTGGTTTCTTTAAATCTTAATCCAATAATAATTTAAAAAACAAAGAATAACGTATTAAACGGATAAAATTAAAATGATACATTATCCATAATTAAAATATTAATAAAAACTGAAATTTGTAAAATTACGAAAATATCCACAGAGCCAAGGAATGAACATGCCGCGGAATTAATAACAAATTAGAAAGCCCAAAAAATTTAAGTGGTAATTCTACCAAAAATGGAGGGGTATTTTGGATATTTCATCAAACTTTTGAAAAATGAGAGAGAGAGAGAGAGAGAGCCCTATCCATTGTACAGCCCAACCTTTATTAAAGCAGACCAAAATCATCGCACCAGGAAACTCAAAACAACCCAAAAAATCCCAAAACGAGAAAATCGCCATAGCCGAAAAGGGTATTTGCTTCTACTCACAAATTCGTCTTCAATGGCGGCAAGTAAGAGTTACTACGCACGGCCAAGCTACCGTTTTCTCCCCAGCGACCAGCATCACCACTCGTCGATCTCCACCGACTCGGGTTTCGAACTCGATGAGTCGGATCTCTACAACTCCGGCTCTGCCCGGCCGAACTCCCCCGATGTTCGCAAGCCCGTTTCCAGCTCTCGGATCGGGAAGAAGCCGTCTGGAAAACGAGTAGAGTCCGCGGGCGATCGGATCGGGGCGACTCCGTCGTCGTTGCCAGTCAACATACCGGACTGGTCGAAGATATTGAGAAACGAATACCGCGAGAATCGGAGAACGAATGACGACGACTACGATGACGTCGACGGCGAGGATTACTACGAAGGCGGCGTGCGGGTGCCGCCTCACGAGTTTTTGGCACGGCAGATGGCGAGGGCGGGGATCTTGTCGTTCTCGGTGCACGAAGGCATAGGGAGGACTTTGAAAGGAAGAGATCTGAGTAGGGTCAGAAATGCAATTTTTGAGAAAACTGGGTTCCAAGACTAATTGTTTTTTTTTTCAAAAGGTTCAGTTCTCTCTCTCTCTCTCTCTGTTTCTTTTTTTGGCCCCTTTGTGTTTAAGAATAGCGGGAATAACTAAACTTCTGCGGCATTATATGGAAATTTTATCCAAAAATTTTGTTTTTTCCCTTTTAATAGTTAGCTTTTTTTTCTTTTCTTTTATTTTCTTTTCTCTTCTTACTGTGATATGATCAAGAGAGGATTATGATTATGTAATTCTAACTTATAGATTGTATTGTATCTTGAATTTTGGCAATGAAATATGAATTAATTTTTGTTTTCATTTTCATAATTCCATGATTCGGAAATTTGGATTGAATTTATGATCTCACTACTGTCAATGATATCAAACTTGGAAGGATGAAGTTGAAATGGGTGGAGAGGGGAAGTTGGTTGGGTCATGTTTGGGAAGGAAGAAAATTGAAAAGAAAATTGTGAAAGAGAGAGTTTATTTGGTGGGGTTGTTGAAAAAAATAATAAAAATAAAGGAGAGCCTAATAATAAATCAACTTGATAATGACCTTAACAATTTTTACAATACGTCAAATCATCATAAAAATATAAAATATCATGGTATTTCTTTACATTAAATATTTAATAATTTTACATATAATATCCACACCATAAATTAATTTTTTAAAAAATAAAAATAAATATAAATATATAAATATATAATTTTTAATTTTATAAATTTTTATTTGATATAAAATTATGAAAAAAATAAGTTGATGAGAAAATTGAAAACAATTTTAGTACAAATGGGTGAAAATTTGGATTCGATAGTATTTTTGAAAGAAAAATTGAAAATTATATGTTAAAACGTAATTTAAGAAAAATTTAGGTCCGGATTTGTTCTGCGCGCATGGAAGGTCCAGATTCGCTTTCTCTACAGGCGCAATCGGATAGTCGTGATTAAACGCAATGAACAGTCAAATTTTGTTTTCTCTTCAAATGTGATCGGACAGTACAGCTCATATCGCGATGAACAGTGCATATTCATTTTTTTTTTAAACGCGATGGACAACGCATATTAAATGGAGATAGACATAAATATCTCACTTCACACTGAACCTTAACCCTAGTTACAAGCCCCCCACCGGAGAAGAATAACCAGTCGCTGGAGAAGGGAGCCGACCGCCGCCTGCCGCAACGCTGGAGCCACCTTCGACCGCCAAAAGAGGTAAAAATTTTCTCATTCGCTCGAAATTTGATTTTAAACACTCCCATGACCACATCGGAGGAAAAAGACAGGCATATGAGATGGAAACCGTGAATAAAGTTTGGCGGGTGCTGCCGTGGGAAAAACCAAAAGCCGTATCTGATGAGCTTCTTCCCGA